GTGAACAACATTAACTACTGCCAAAAGTTTAACTTATATGTAAACACTTTGTGGAAATTGCATTTAATAGGCACCGCTATTATTATTTTCCGGGACTGTAAGGGTAAATTAGAAAGAAATCATTACAATAAAAATACGAAATTAGCGGAACAACAGAGAAAATTGGTAGATGAGCATTTTATAACAAGAGGTAAAGCTGATTATTGTAGTATTGACGCGATTGCTCATTACAGTTATGATTGAGCGCAAAACGTTCACGTACCCCATTCTGATCAACAGGTAAGTAAGATTTATTATCTTAGTGCATTCAAGATGAAGCAGTGCGCAAACAAATTAACTATGTTCTCGATGAGAATGAAATAATAGGAAAAGGTCCTAATGGCACACTGAGCCTGGTATTCGATGGAATTAAGAGATTGAATAAAGGTGAAAAACATTTAAAGATTGCTTGTGATAATGCAGGAGGTCAGAATAAAAATAACGTTACCATTTGATTTTACCTATATTTAATAATTTGCGGTTATTATGAAAGTGTCGAATTAAATTTTATGATACCTGGTCACACTAAGTTTAAGTGTGATGGTAGCTTCGGATTGATTAAGAAACTATACCGTAAAACGACTGTAGATTGTGTGGATCATATTGTTGAGGTTGTGAAAAGATCGAGTACAGTGGGATTAAACAAAGCTCAGTGTTATGAAGGTAGCAAAAAGACGTGTATTTCCAGGTACCGAAAGTTGTTGGTTAATGAGAAAAGTTGATTGGTATTTAGGCGAACTAGTTGTCGAGATGGCTACCTCGTGTCGATCGGTAGACACTAAGCCTAGACGGTTATTTACCTTTGAGTTAATCGACTAAAATACATTTCTGCTTAATATTAAGCAAATAACAACCGGAATTATTTCTAACCGAATTAGTTTTAGTGGTTCACAACTATATCGAATAATTCACCAGGTTCTGAATATAAGAAACTACTTGTTTATTAGAAAGGAATATTAATTAAAAAAAAAAACATGATGAAAAGTCGCGCTCTTTGATATGTGTCTCGTAGTGTAGGAAAAACCAAAACTATCGATCTATACACTGCTAGGCTGCGCCATCGGCTGACTTCATAAACCTAAGTCACATGTTACCTACTATAAAAATTCTTGCCTATACTATGGAACATGACTTCTCACGAAACTGAAGCAAGTTTACTTTCTTAGCTGTTGCTCTGTGTCCTACTTTTTCACTCCAAGTAATCTTTTCTTTATCCTGCCAAATTTTCCGCAATTCCTCCTCTTTCTCCCGTAATTTGGCATTTAAAATCATGTTCTGACTTTGCAGGTTGTGAATTTGAATTTCTAATTCGTTTTGATTGGCATGTTTTCAGATAATTTATACGATTGAAAAATGGTAAATTAGAAAATTATTTTAATGGTATGAGATATTAGACTAACAAAAACAAAAACAAAAACAAAAACAAAAAACACTCCATCTAACATCTTAATATTGCTAAAGTCTTTTGTTATGGCTTATAACACGTAGACCACTGTAGTTAAACAACAATCAACCCTAGTGTTATTCATAATGATTGATACATTATGCTATAATTCCAATCTTCCAAATTGACAACATACGTTAAACATAACGGGTCTGATTCAGCCTATCCCATGGCAAAAAATAACAATTTCCGCAACCTGTTGGTCGAGACGGGATTTGATAATATAATTGATTTTTTTAACATGTGTTTACAAGATTGCGGTACTGTTATTATTTGGGGCATGCTGTGACAAGCCTGAGGATAATATTTCTGTAGCATTATGTCTGTTTGACCAGTATTTAGGTTATTATGTTTATGCGATCGTAGGAGCAGTCAGGCAATAAACGTGGTAGTTTAATTGAACAGTATATACACCATATGCGCGGAAAACAAAAGCTTTTATCTATAAACGGTTCACTTAAAGAGGTGTAAATATTATAAAGGAAACTTGTGAATAGAGATTTCGTATGGCAGTATTGTGTCTAGGACGTTAGAGCATGGTTCAAAGCATCATGTATTTATGATATCAATATCACATATCATATAGGTTGTACGTACGTATATACATTTTTATCTTAGGGTATTAGTAATTAATAGTAAACGTTGTTACGGAAATTTGTTTGCTACAATTAATTTATGCATCCATGACATTTAAAGATGCTAATTTAGATCACAGGTTTGATGAATTTGAATAGGTTCGATCGGGAAGAGGCCCATTGTATATGTACATATGGGAGACCTTCATCCTTGCAAAGTCCTTATTAGGAATCCATCTTGCGGATGCATCTAGTAAGGCATAGCATGCAATTTCTGATGAGCTGACTTGCGTGGTACGATAATGGAGAAAGAAAAAGAGTGGACGAATGATTTTTCATATGCTTGACTAAATGAATTTTACTCGTATTTTATAATTTGATTGGTAAAACAATGCCATGCCTAATACTAAATGTTATGCCTTGAACCTTTGAATGGCTCCATCTTTCTCTTATCGTCGCATTATGTGCATTTTTCGACTAGCCACTCTTTGCGCTTCGTCTTCTGTTATTTTATTTTACATAAAAGATTGAAGATATCTTTAACAAGACACTGACTGCATTATAAATTGAATTCATCAATCAAATTTCAAAGCATGTTCTTAATTCGTCCACAACAATTATTACACATAATATTTAGTCGCATATTAAAAAGGTAATTAATCAAAATGCCATGTATTATAAGGGTACAAGTAACATTAGCTGTTAAAAACCCCCCATTTATTATGCGCAAGTCGTAAGTTGACTTATTAGAACATGGTTCAGCTGTTATGACTCTGTTCCTGGAACTACCCCTTCAGCGACTTTTACCTTTTGTACATGTGTAAACTGACATCTTTCGGATCGGCCTTAGAGTCCAATACCAAGATAAGTAACTAACAATGGAAAGTCGGTGATTTCGGCTAATAAAACTTATTTTTAACATCTTGCACATTGTCTATTACTTTCGCTTTATTATTCCGTTTCTGTGGAATGACCCCCAACACTAAATAGGGTTAGTACAAGAGTGAAACGAATTCGCCAAGATGCGATCGGCCGAAGCACAAAAGATAATACGATAAACCTCAATAATTAAATCGAATTTACGATGCCCAAGACACAGAATAATGGGAGCGGACAATTATTCTATAGGATACTTAGTACTTGTTCTCGTAACTACTTTCTTTTTTCCTTTCCATTTTCTTAGTAATTTCGAATAGGCTTTCTGTACACCCGCACCGAACACACATTCTATTGATTTTATTATTTGGTGATCATCTTATTAATCATGATGCCGTTGCATCACCTTCCAAATCCGGACGAAGAATTTTTCATTTCTTATCCGTAATAATTCTACCGTCGCACATTATCTACACAAACATATATAATGGGTTTATCTATGACTGCCGCCGTCTAAATAACAAATACTTGTTGTTGATTTCTATCCAGAGAGTAGACTCCTCTCTTCCTACCACTTTCCTTATTATTCCACTTATACTAATTGGTATAGAATACCAATCCCCCGCTCACCTATCTTACCATTCGACTTTATCCCCTTCCCTATACTCTTCACTCAACCCATTGAAGCACCATGAGAATTGTCATATCAACCGTTTTCGTCATTCTTCTCGTTTCGATAGCCCAGGCTGGCATCTTTACTACTTCTCCCATCAGTTCTACGACTTGGAAAGCCGAAACACCGCAAACAATTACTTGGATAAATGCTAAAGACCCACCACTCGCACAACTTACAAATGTCAAAATCGAGCTTATGACTGGTCCCGAAGAAAAAAACATCCCTCTATTGACGATTGGCGAGGGTGTTAAAGGCACTGCTTTGAAATTCGTCTTCCAAAAGGGTGTACCTAAGAATCTCGGACCATCTGGTCAATTTTACTTCCTCAAGTACACGGATGGAGATTTCATTGGATTTTCCGCACGTTTCACTATTACTGGAATTGATGGTACGATCGCTGGCTTTGATCCCAATAATCCCAACGCCAATAACTCAACTGCTGGAAACAGTACTACTGCAGACCCATATGGGAACAGTGGTTCAACTGGGGGTTCAACTGGAGGTTCAACTGGAGACTCATCCGGAGGCTCATCCGGAGGCTCATCTGGAGGCTCATCTGGAGGCTCAACAACTTCAACCAACTCTCCAACGGCAACTGGCACCAGTTCAGGATCCAAGCCGAATAATACAAACAAGGCAGCTGCCGGCAGCAGTGCAAGTAGTTTGAGCACCGTTCATGTTGCTACTTTCGTAATTGCACTAGTTGGAATGGTCATATCCAACTGGATGTAAATGTAATTAATATTTAATTAAACACAGTACTGCACGTTAATTGTATCAATAATGATGGTTTTATTGGTGTTTATTATGTGTTTGGTTTTCTGGATAGAATTCATACACTCCCTCCACTTTGTCACTTTCTTGTGAATAGCGATTATGATAGTGAGTGTCTATAGATCTTTTTTCTTAATTAAAATCGATGAAGTTAATTACTAAGACGGCAGTTTCGGTTTAATATTCGACCGAATAGGTAGAGCTTAGTTAGGAATTGCATAAGCATACGCTGGAATTGCATAAGCATACGCTGTTCTACTAAAACCACTAGTTTCTGTCACGTATTCCACCTCAGCGTAATTGACTTCCCCAAATAATAATAATATAATAGAGGGGCTCATTTGTTTTTAATAAACATTAAACAATTGACACTTGTAATATGTATATATTTCATCGACTGAAATGGGAACTGCTAGGGGTACTTTGACAATGTTTCATTGATTGATTGATTGAAAGATTATTAATACGGCTATTTTATGACGTATTGAGAGTTACACTTTTGTCTGAATTTGTTCAAATCCTGTGACTCTGATATAAATCACACAATGTACTTCCGTTGGAGATAGCAAAGTTTGCATAACAAAAACATCTTGTACAAGATATGACCTATCCATTTCATTCATTCCCGGCTTGACTGTTCAATTTTAGTAAACAAGTTAATGATTAAATGGAGCTTTTGTATAAACGTACTTAATATAGAAGTCAAACGTTTTTTACATAGTTCAGGGTCATTGATAAACCTAATCCCAAAGAGACATCATTATTAGACATTACTTTACAACACGTGATTTGTCATACTTATACTTGTCTATGCTTATTTGCTTATTTTCGACAACAAAGACGGTATTTCTCATTACCAGTCTATCAAACACCCCCCTTCCCAGGAAGCCGATCAACAAGGCAAAAGTATCGTTTTATTAAAGAACAATCTCGATACGAAAGGACATTAATGATATCATATATACAAGTCTCTGTCATCTATTCAACTATGAGCATAATATTAATAGTAAAAACGTTTGTTTTACGCCATTTATTATGGCGATTGCCTTTATAATAGAAATTTCGAGTTTTACATTTCTTTATTAGCTGCATAGATAGGCAATTTGACCCCTGACTTGTTTGTCTCTTCGTGACATATTAAATACATTATCAACTGATGGACATCTTGGGCTAGTCATAACAGTAAGGAACGGTAGTATCAGCATTGCAATATTAAGCCTTAGCAATTGCCATGAATAAAGTCACGTTAATTGACAAGGCTTTTATCTAATATTTTGGAGTAATGCCAAGCATATTCAGGTATGTCTTTTGGCCAATAGGTATATTAAAATTCCAGCCAGTTTCCTTTTCGAAATCGGGTAGCGTTGGTTATTCTTCAACCATGAAATTGGGTCATCAAAAAATGTCTTGTTCAGTCTCAGCGCTTGAACGCTTCTCGCACTTTAGCAAACTCTTCTCTCGGTATCTTTGTGGAGCAACAGCAGGCAGAGCCTACTTGTAAAAATGAAATGCCTGTTCATATTTTATCGTTTACCATAAGAAGAGAATTGAAATATGACATAAAAAATTAATAACTGTGGGTAGCTGAAACGCTCGTGACCTGAAATTTAGCAGCAAAATTGAATGAGCACAAAGTTACCAGCGTTGATGATGATATCAGTAACAAAAATAGTGAATTTTAATTTGCACCGTCAGTGACCAAAGAAAAATATACTTATCAATGGCTTTGGTTTCGAGTATTTTCCTCCATGCAATCACTTTGTTGCTCTTATTATTATTTATTCACATATTTTCGCACTCAATAAAATTGTGCTTACACGAAATCGAATCAGTGTTACAATTGGTTACAATTGTGTCAAAGTAGCGAAATACAAATCAAAGATCAAGTTGAAGACTATAAGGAACAATTTTTCATTGATAGATCGCTCGATCAGTGGAGGCCTTGGGGTAGAAAGCTTTTACACTAAACTGCTTTCCTTCTAATTTTCGGTTCATCACAAGTCAGTAATTTTTTTTTATCTAGACATTCTTCGAGAACTTGATATCGTTGAGTTTGGAGCAATATTTTTCTCTCGTTCTTTCTTTGAAATACTTCTAATAAGTACTGTGAAATAATTTCGTGTTTTATAGATGAAGTACATTATGCGTTATAATGAGAACTTTAAGTAAAACGTTTATCTCACATTTTGATACCATGTTAATGTTCCGACCCGTAGATACTAATCCTAGACGGTTATTCGCCCTAGAGTTAACCTTCCGGTGGAATTATTCGGGAGCTATAGTAATAGTAATAGGGGGGATACTTTTATCTATTATTATCTCAACGCGTTTCCACTTGAAGCGAGTAATAATCATAACGCCACGAGAATTTTCACTGGACAAGAGGCTAATCGATATAAGGATTAGTTGTTCACAACTATATCGATAATTACCAGGGAACGAATATTCCGATTAATTAATTGTTCATTGGATGGCAGAATGATTCCGTAATTCTTGTGATACCGTCAAGGATGGCTTACCATTCCTATCAAAAAACCGATCCCGTGACAGAAAAGATAATATAAAGCTTGTAATATATATATTAATATTACAATTACTTTCATAGAACTTACATTTACGAAAAGAAACATGGGCGCAAGGGAAAGCAAAATTACGCCACAAGATAGAGCTATTCTTGATCTCAAAGTGCAGAGAGATAGGCTCAAGAAATACAGCAAAAAGGTATTCTATAGGGGAAAATCATTGAAAGAACCGCCGAATAATGAGTATATTTAGTAAATACTGTGAAAATGTGATACATTCTCTGCGGTTTAGATCCAACTCGTTGCCCTTAGAGAAAAGGAAATAGCCAAAGAAGCACTCCTGACAGGGAATAAGCGCAAGGCATTATTAGCTCTCAAAAAGAAAAAGTATCAAGAAGTACTTCTCGAAAAGACGGAAACACAGTTAATCAACCTTGAAGAGTTGGTAAAGATTACTGATCTATGCGATTTTGATATAAATGTCTAGAATAGTTAATTATTTTATTCGCTTTCCTCCTAAGTAGACACAAACTATAGAGTTCGCTCTAGTAGAGAAAGAAGTTTTGGCTGGATTGGCTCGTGGTAATGAGATCTTGAAAGAAATTCATAATGAGATCTCATTGGAACAAGTAGAACAGATAATGGAAGACACAGCGGACGCAATTGCTTATCAGAATGTAAGTACACGATTTACGATGTTCGTCTTATCCACGCTCATTGGTTGTTTCTCTTTAGGAAATCGAAGAATTATTAAGCGGAAAGATTACCGAAGATGATGAGGAAGAGATCATGCAGGAGTTAGAAGCAATAGTGGAAGAACAGGTTTGATTCTTGTAATGTTAATGTTTAGAGTTTTTATTCTTTGTTCTAACATCGGGATCGTTAATTTCAAGATCGCATCGGAGATTAACGCGAGCATGCCCAAAGTACCAGATGTCGAACTCCCTACTTCTACCAAAGGTTCGGTTTTATTGTTGTTGTTTACATAACGAACTTGTATTTGCTTCAACACTTCACTCATGAATCTAATTTATATAAACGCCATAATAGACGATATTCAGTCGAAGGTTCCCCCCAAAAAAGAAGAGCAGCAAATGTTAGCAGCATAAGATCACGGATGTATTCATCATTCTTTAGATTTATAAGAGTAGGCGAGCCTTTTAGAATTATAAAGTTCGCAACATAATTCCAAATTTAATAAGTCTTTTATATATCGTTTCTCCCCTCCCTTCCTCCCCGCGATCTTAATGTAAAAAAGCATGCGCATAACTTAAAGCAGATTATAGCAAATAATGAAATAAATAATACACTTGGATGACTATTTATACGTTACAAATATATAAAAAGACCAACTCCAGGTTTCTAGTTTCAAGTCTCAAGTGCCACTCTATGGAAACATATCCTTTTCTAATGTTTCTCTCATGCACAATCTATTTCTTCTTCAACGCTTCAAATCTCCTCGCCAACTCGTCAAAATCAGGTAAATCATCTTTGGTGTTACTCTCCTTCTTCTTGCTCACGGTATCCTCCTCTGCTTTCTTTGTTTCAATTTCTACATCATTTTTGTGTTCTTCGTAAGGAGGTGGTGTTGCGTTAGAATCATCAGGAAAAAGATTTGATAATGACTTGTCAATGGAATTGGAATCAGGGCGTTTGGACGGTGTCTCTGGAAGAGATACGGAAGGTTTAGGCGTAGAGTCAAGCTACATTTGATATCAACGAAGAGGATATCAGAAGAAGAACGCCCAAGAATAAACTTTTTACATTTGAAACATTGATGAATCAATTATAAGAATGATTCATACCGGTTTCGAGGTAGAAGAACCATTTGATTTGAGGCTGTCCATGAAAAAGGCTTGGAGATCTGGAAGTGCTGTATATGTTTCTGACTCGGTATTTCCGTTGGATGAGTTATTTCCCCCAATTAACAGATCATACTTATCGTTACATAATTATATACAATCGGTTTGTTAGCAAGCGTATACGATTATGATGATGTGGATTATACTAAAAACGACATACCGTAATAAGTGATTCAGATTCGATATTAAGCACCCAGTTGACATTGTAAGATTTCGCAATCTCTTCTAGATATCTGTTTACGAGATACGAATCCGGAGCTTTGGCCTCCAATTTTACTACCACCTGTAAGATATACAATAGTCATAAAAATATCCATTTCATTTGTACCATTACCGAACTACCAAAAGTTCAATTGAAATCATACCCTTTCGTTCACGTGCAATTTATGTTGGGTGATATTGTCAAGGAATTCTTTACCAAATCGAGTAATTAGTTGTTCTCGAACCTAATTACAAAGACGTTAGAAATGTTTCCCGAATACCTCACTCACAACAGTTTGACTTACACGTTGTAATTCAACAATCTCCATTCTCGGTGCGCCGTATATCAAGGTGCTAACAGCTTCAATTATAGCTGGATCACAGGTACGACTGTAACGTTAATGTAGTATTCTGTCAGATAATAGAGTTGCCCGCATTCTGTACTTGCGATTTACCTGTTCTGATCGATCAACCCGAAGCGAGCCAAAAGAAGTTCGCAATAAAGCTCGAGAAGCTCCATCGCTTCGATGTAAAGATCTTCTCGAATTATACCCTCAACCTAATCCATAAAATATAGAAAACCTTGGCCTTCGAATACAGTCATGTTATAGTGCGTTTCACATTCTCTTTGTATTTTTTCGAACATACCCGAATCCTAGCGCTCTCCTCTTTTCCATTCTCCAATAGAGTCGCTATTTCCCTCCTCGCATGCTTATTAATGCTGTTCTTTTTCTGTTGTGATAACTTGAGTCTGTTAATGGTCAATTTCAATTGAACCTTGAGGCGGTTTGAGTTATAAGAATACTGCGGCATTGTGGAAAAGATCTAGTAGTAAGTAATTTTTTGGATGTTTGCTGAAGATCTACTTATCAAGTGACATGCAGATCGCATTTTTTAATAAGCTATAGAGATGCCTACAACTTGTCTGTTATTTGTTTGCGGACGCGAGCGTTTGTCTCTGCTGCTTTAGCAGAAAGCAAGTTCTGTTAGCTCTACTACATATAAATAATTGCGTTTAAAAATCTACAGGATCTTACCTCAGTCTCGTCTGTTAAAGGAATGTTGACCTGGCAACCTCAAGGTTCCCGACCTTCATCCCAGTTGCTTAAACCTGTTAATTGTACTGTCTTGAAAACACGAATCCACAGCTTCTTAACAATTTACTAAGTTTGACTATTACCACAAATTGCAAATGTATTGCTGATGATCAAAAAAGCTACTATGATTCTTGCTCGTTGACCAAAATGGTTTATTTATTTATAAAACAAGAGAATTTTTTATAAATAAATAATTATAGAGTCGTGTTATGACTTAAACAAAGAAGAGTCCGCTAAATTTAAACACTCCATTCTCTTTGACCGCCGGAAACTTCTTGACTCTGAACGAGTTGCCTTTGCCATAATTTTTTGAACGAGGCCGACGTCATTTTTAAACACCCCCCCGAAAAAGCCAATCTAATTCGCGGAAGTGGTTTAGGTGTAACTGGTAATGTACAAAAAAAAGTAATGCTTGGAATTAAATGTACACAAATTGACCAAAAATTTGAAGTAATTCTATCCTGTAAATTATTTCCAGATTGTTTATTCGATTGCTATGAATAAATTAATTGGAAGACTGGGATTTATTGTGATTCAAAGTATGGAAACTTCAAAACGCCAAAATTTAGCCGAACAGAACCAATGATGGTTGAGTAGTGAGAAATTTGACCAGCGCAGACTATAATTCGATTTTTATACTCAACAAAACAATAACGTAAGCCTGTTTAAAAAAATAAAGGAAAGCATATTTCAAATTGACTTTTTGTTAATATAATTTACATCTTTTTGGCTTTTAAATAAGTTATTATTTGTGTTATTTGCTATAACAAACATTTTTGTAATTACGTTTTTTTTGTAACGCACTCACTGTATACAGATATGGTATAATAGTTACTTTGATTGTTTTATATTTTCATTTTTTATTTATTTGCTAAAAAAGTCTGCTTGAACATGTAAATAAACTGTAAGACATATCTACAGTAACCACTCCCGCCAGACGTCTTTATTACAAGAAATTTGTTGAGTGCCGACTTTTGCCGTTCCGTTGGTATGCTGCGTATTATGGGGGGTGGGGGAAAGGTTTCTTTGTATTGTCGTTTGTGTTTTAGCATGTGTTCGCGCTTTGGGGTCATTGCACTAGGAAGTGGTACATGCACAATAAAAAGAAGTGGCAAGCCGCGTCCGGGTATTTATTTATATATGTAAGTAAGCGTATTTCCGTCCACAACAATCACTGAACACACTATATATGTGCGAGTTTGCAACAACCGATCAATAATAACGTATCGATATACACATGTTACAACGTATTGCGATATTGTCCTGATTGTTTCCGAAAAGGAGAATAATTAGTATTAGTGTAACATTTTAGAATACACGTAAACAACTAAACTGGTCACGGTGATATCGATAACATAGCGCGTACTTTCTTGGTATATACATAGACAGCGCGTAGCATTAACAACGTGAGTGTAATCTAGAAATTTTATGCATTTGAGCTCACTCGTTTTTCAAAAAGTAGTTGTCCAATTCTACACAGAACGAAAATTGTACATGTTGGTCTGTGAAGATTAAAAAAAAAAAGTCCGATGAGTGTAACAAACATCCATACGCCTCGTAGTCATTGCGTGATGAATTCGGGTATGTTAACTAGGCTATTTTCATTTTAAAGTATGTCAAATGTGTCTTTACTAACCTTTGTCAAATATTTGATCAACTGCCCTAGCGTGCAATCACGCGATCCATAATTATTGTCAATAGAAACTAGAAACCGGGCCATTATACAGCCAATTGTAGTAATATTATTCTGCTATTCAATGCCCGTTACATGTCAACCGTGATAACCCTTCTCTACTGTCATTACTGTGGCCCGTTAATATTACTTATTTCGATCCCTTTTTACTATTTAACAATTTACTTTTCAGGCGATTAGCTGACAGAATAGCGCAAATAACAACTCTTCTCAACGATGGACGATAATTACAGCAATATAAAGTTTTATTTGCTAGTCGCTAAAAGAAATAAATAGTAGTGAACCAGAAGAGACAACTTGGAAGAATGAGCTCGATGAGCTTATAATTTATATTACTATGAACAAAATTGACAAAGAATAAATAAATAGAAAACTGCAACGTATCAACAAGTGTGATTTCTAGAAATGTGTGTTTTGTTACAAAGTCTATGTGACTGTTTTATAGGAAATATGTGAACAAAAACCTGAATGTTTGTTTTTAATGGTTCGTAGCTACAATCACATCTAATACGCAACCGACAAGGCAGTTGTTATCACCACAACTTGTCTCTATTGCTTTGCTCAACTATTAGAACTGCCAGGAGTTATAAGTCTAATTACAATTCGATTCGGAATCTGCATACCACATCACTAGCCTGCAATTCACTCTATCAATCACATAATATTCCGTTTGTGAATGATACAATTAGATACTACAACAAGGGTAGTAAATGCAATGTATAGTAGTAACATTTTATAGCAAGTTGTTGGTAATACATTAGCCTTGTTTGTAAATCACCGATAGCAGAATTCAGTGTCATCGGTCTCTGTTTGTAAGATCTCAGAGTCCTTCTCTGCACGCGGAAGGTGTGCCCATAGTAGAATTCTTTGACCTAATAAACGTAATACAAAATATGTATTAATAATAGAGTAAAATATAAGATAACGCGGTGTTCAATAATAATGCTTCATAGACACGCTTAAATTTACTTTCTTGCGCCTTACCATCTGCATCCAGTCTCTCCTCGCTATTCACCCCATCTGTATGGAACATCCAAAAGTGTCCATTATTGCAAGCTTCCATGCATGTCTGACATGGCTGAGTTATATGATAACCAAGTACGTTCCCGCTAACAAAGAAAATAAACATGCGATTAGAAGAAGTTATGAACATCAACTTGGATTTCATATCTACCTTCTCACGCGACGATATTCCTACCCGAAATAGTTGGTCTACTAGATACTAATTCTACTCACCATGTAAGACACGCAACATCCCTAATCTTACAATGACAATTCTGCGTCATATAATCATCTCCTACCAACTGAACTCTGTTATTAGAGTAGGATTACAATACACGTCAGTAAAAGTAACATATTTTGTATCCTTAAGATCATTTAACGCAATACTCACGATAACGGGGGAACATCAGTCGAATACAGCTCAATCCGTATGTCTGCCAATAGCATTGCCTGTGGTGAAATAAGAAGCAAAACCATGAAATTAAAAAAATTTTCCATCACATGTATTACAACGCTCAAATTCACTATAATCCTCATTGTCCCCTTCCCCTTCCTCCGATCTTGGTTCACAAACTCACCTTCATTCCTCGAACACAGACTCCAGTTTCGCAATGTTTACAGCTCAGTTTACACACGGTTTTGCTCCTAAAATGATGATGCATGCTTGGAATGTCATCTTCTGTGAGGTATATATCTGGTTAAAGAGATAAAGTAAAGAGAATAATGGACGAGTTAAAAACAAGAAGAACATGCGTATTTAACAAGACACAAGACATAAGAGTTGCATACCAGATGTACCATTGGACGTGATATCATCGTTATTCTCATTCTCACCTTCTGTTCTACTCGAAACACTACCATTGTTACTACCAGATATACCACCACCACTCATTCCCACACCACCATGTCCACCATTATTCATAGCCCTTGAAAGGAACAGATTCCTTTCTCTCTGCGCTCTTACTCGATTATGATGAGCATATAATCGACGAGACCACCGGGTTGGAAGAGGTATTGTCGGCGCTGTCGGTGTTGATGTGGCTGATGTGGTTGATGTGGTTGATGTGGTTGATATGGTTGATGTGGTTGATGTGGTTGATGTGGTTGATGTGGTTGATGTGGTTGGTATTGTCGATGTTGTCGATGTCGCCGACGTTGGAGCTGTCGGAGCCGTCGGTGGTGATGACCTAGCTGATGTTGGTAGTGATGGCAGCGATGATATTGGTGGTAGTATCGGTGGTAGTATCGAGGGTGAATAAGAATACGCTTGAGAAGCCGCAAGAGGGCCATCACCATGCAATTGTGTATGCGTGTTTGTCTGTCCTTGTGCAGGTCGGGGATATATTGTAGATGCTGGTGATGATGATAGTGCTCGGTGCGATGCATATGCAACAGGCACCATTCCAGATCCTCTCGTAGATGATGGAAGCCCATACGATAATCCGCGAGAAGTGGTTGAAAGTGTTGGTGCGCTCGGGAGCGATTGTGCACTCTGCAAAGATGATATGTTTGATACGCTCGACGTATTTAGTATAGTTGGTCTGTTCGATATACTCCTCCGCGTGGTATGAGTAAGAGTAAACCCAAAAGTTTGTGACGTAGGTTGCATATTCGGGGATGGTGATAATGGTGCCATTTGATTGTTTAGTTTTGCTTTTTTTATTAACCCCCCCGTAATATACAAACTACAAATTACGAAATTAAATTTAGTAGACAAAAGGAGGAATGCTGGAACTCGGAGTTAGTTATAAAGAGTGGTTGGAGCAACTAACACGAAAAGTGAGAATATCAGTGTCGAAGGGGTGTAACAGATAAGATTCTTGGGTAGTGTCTGAGCCAATTCTATGGAATGGAGTATATGGAGAGGGTAAGTAATGTGGCTTGGGTGAATGCGAATGCCCGGGATTTGTATGCTAGTAGAGAGCCTGAAACGAAGAGAAAAGCTAGTCGCGCCTCGAGTTCTTGTTGTATGAGGCTGTATGCTATGCGATGTCTATGTCACGCGTGTAATGCTGTTTCGTTAACTTCTTACACTATTGTGTTAAAAAGTTAAAATGTTCTTTCAATATCCCGTGAATGTCCAAATTTAGATGCCAATCCCCAATCTAAAAATTTTTTTCTTTTCTTTTGTTCAGAAATAGAGATTTTGGGAATGTTGTAGGTGCGGAAGAAATAAACACGACAAAGAGTTAACCCAACCATATAGAAACTGACACCTATAAGATTGTTCTACCTATCTTGCCTATCTTGAAATATTACACACGTTGGTTGAATATAGTTTCTCGTGGGTAGAGCATATGCAGTCTGTACACAGTGATATGCGTGGGAGTGAATGTTGATAATCGTGCAGGAAACTATAAAACGCTCCGCGGACGTTATGTGGCGATTTGAGCGAAAAAATACTTATTTTATGTTGTGCTACGAATTTCTGGGCTTTTCATAAGGGAGCTTTGTCGGAAAATGCACAATTTATGTTGTTGGGTGTTGTGGATTCATTATATGCATGATGTATGCGCATATGACTAAACGAGTCTGTTGGGTAAGTGTGTATTGGTCATTTACGTGCGTTTGGGGAGAAGGGGATGAAAGAATATCTTCAGTTTCGGAAGCTTGATTAGTAGATAAACAAACGCCAGTAAAAGCATTACTATCACATATTACTGCTATTAATGAGTTGATAATCGATAACTTTCAAACAAAGATTATCAGCTCACGGAGAAGATGCACAAAACAGGACGGCGAGATGTGAACAAGTTGGGGGCACATTCATAGACATGAACTCGCTGCATTGGAAAATCCTGTTCTGCAAGCAGCATGTCGTTCAGAATGTGGGCTGTAAATGTTGCAAGTGTCAAAATGCACTACGGGTCGGCTATGACAGTGACAGAATAATAATAGAACGTTGTTACAACTATTCAATGCAAAACGATGGCATGTCGACGGTGTACAGTGTCAGAAGAAGAAAGAGTCGACTATGTATTCCTTGTTAATTAATACAATAAGTTCTCTACGAATTTGGTGATGCATCATTATTTAGACTTTCTTGGTTGGATATTTTTAGACAATCATTGTATTTCCTCAAAACAAAGCTTAATCAAACAACGTACACTCCCTCTTCATCAATTCCTTGTCTGGTTTCCCAGCAAAATTGCTCGCACAAGGTGTACTCTCAACCTGTCTCACCTAGTATTCTTGCTGATCCACTAAAGAACTGAAATTATATAACAAGACGGAAGATGAAGAGAAAAAAAACGTAGAAGAGGTGAAAATCTCTCTTCAAAAAACCGTTGAGTAATGATATGCATGAGAGCTAGACATAATATTTGATTAAGTTGTGTGAAATTCTTCGCTAGTTACGAATAATATTGTTTGACAAACACCAGTGTTTTTTAACTTTATTATTAATTAAGGGTTTTATAAGCTTTAAGTAAGAACTGTTATATATTCTAACAGAAGAATTAACTGATGACATTAATTGATTCCCTACTATTGTATTATAAATAATAGCTCGAATTCGTTTATTATCATCCTTCGTTACGAAAAAACCCCTTAAAAAATCAACCCCCAAGATAACCAATTTCACCTACCTATTACAACCCTTCCCTCCCAACTCTCTCGCCACCTCCTTATCACGCATACCATACCTACGTAGGTTAATTGACAAATATTTTCATATTTACTCAAAGAAGATTTCGTCTTATGACCGTTTACCATAAATAGAATCTTTGTTTCACGGAGCGAGGGAAGACAATATGTCGCGTCTGGATCATAGTTTTTAGAAAGTCGAGCTTTCCCTGCCTCCCCCTTCTTTCTCCTCCACCTTCGCCCATGATAATATAAAGATATTGAGAAAGTTTATGAATGGGTTCTGGCATGGTTGGATTTTATTATGAGCTGGAAAACTTTATTTTGTATCTATTCTTGACTCTAATATCTACTTAATTCATTCTTCTCACAACAAATTGTTATCCCCTTTCTTTTCCCTCTTTCACTTCTCCCTACCACAAAATGGGCAGCTTCTTATCCACACCACGGTCCGTACCCAGTTTCTCTATCTCACGTTGCTCACGCCAACAGTCTTCCAACCCTCGTGTTACCGCTAGTCAGTTTCCCACAGGACAAGCTTCGTGTGCGAGCGGAATGTGTCCACATGGTGCCCTTAAAATCCCATGCTCTGTACAATGTTCCTCGCTCTCCCTCCCGGCCTGTACTCTGCCACCAATTTCGCGACTCTCCTCTCTTCGCTCGTCCCTTCGTTCCTCTTCTCCATATGGCGCTTGTCCTGCTTGTTCAACACGGCTCACCTCTCCGGGGTGGTGCTCTCCTTGTGAATGTCTCTCCTTTACAAATTCATTTCCCCTCTGGCACACCGGGTCAGCGCTGATAACACGCTTAATTCGTCAGATTCAGCTTTCTGCAACTGGATGGGACGATTACGTTGATTGGATACCATGGGACTGTATACAACACGTGAAGTTTTACTCTGAAGGCGTTTATGGAAGATTATACAAGGGTTATATAACAAAAGAGCATGAAACGAGATGGATCAAATGGAGATTTGAAAACGAGATTGTTGAAGTCACGATCGTTGATGGTGGCTGGAAGATTGACAGTGATAATGAAACAACTGGAATTGGGATAGGCACAGACACGGTAGAGTATGTCGGACAGCCAATAAATGAATGGATTAATGAAGATAGGGGTACAGGTGTTTTAACCAGACCTCAAAATGCGTATAGGGAAAAATCCAGTCTCTCAGACGATGATTTTATGTACGATTCAGACATTGTTGAAAAATCCAGAACTATGTTTTTTGAAGGTGGCAGTGATGATGCAAATGCTGATCATCGTGATGACAACGAGAGATATGGTGATGATCGTGTAAAAGTAGAACACAATGATCAAAGCTCGATAGATGAATCTCTAGATGAATATATCGACCAGGCCGACGAGAGCGAGGATGATGGGGAGGTGAGTAAGGAGTTCCTGGGTAAGGTAAGGAAGCATTAATTTATTTCCGTTATTGCATGTTTATTTGTGGGACTGTATGGAGAGTCTACTTGGAAACAACGATAAAATTTTCTTTCTGAGTGCCTTTCCTCTTCTTTGGCAACATGATCTTTATTTCTCATGATCTCCTTATTTTAAGATCCGCCCCTACCTACATTGTACAGGTTATGATGGTCTGTTGACCGTATTTGGCGTCACCCGAGATCCCGTAACAAAACGCTATCTTCTCGTTCTTGAAACCGCCTACCTATCCCTAAGAACTTGTCTCTATGCCCCGAACGATGAGGAGATTAAAAAGTTTCGAAGGCGCTTAAGAGGGCGGGGAAAGAAGGGATGGACACGATGTAGATGAATCTTTACAAGACTCGAGACGAGGAAAGAACATTCTTGATATGAAAGGTTATGGTTGAGGATGAATGGAGCAGTGTATATAATTGAATTTGGCGAGTTGAGAACATGTGTAAATCTTATATTTCGTTGCCTATTTTCATAATCTAATTGTGTAAGATATTTTAATAAGATACGAGCCTAAATTTACGTAATCAACACAGCTAATAATGAATAAATTTACTTACTGTATATATTTCATGGGTCTCGCTTGCTTGCAATCATCAAAGACATTGTAAGTGCCTAAATAAAGACCTCGAAACCTCAAAGACATTGTAACCTTGTTATGCATATTTTATGTTTGAACGAATTTTTAGTAGAATATAGTGATCATACACACACGCACTCATACAATCCTCTCTGAAGCACTTTTCTTCTCCAATTCAATCATTTAAATCTAGGCGGAGAATATGGCAATCAGATGCTAATGATATATTACGTTTGGCTACCAAAACGAATAGGCCTTCTCCGACTTTTTTTTCTTCGCTCATCATATCAACGTGAGTATCAATTGACTATATGTTGCTAGTTTACGTATTTTCTCCATCACTATTATAATTATATTAGAACCTCCTAACGGATTATTATTGTTGTCACAATATGTGTGATGCATTTATTGTAGTCTAACAATACTAACGCATCGATAATACATGAGCTCTTTGAATTTTTGCAAAAGAAATAATAATATCACAAGCGTAATATTGTCATTCCAGTCAACGTAAACCTCAAAAAGAGAACAACAGTCAAGCAATTTTGCTGGTTATTAAATTACTAAAGTTTATTCGATTGAGGGATGAATTTAGCCGCTAGTGTCGTTTACTTAATAAATGAAGACGTTGGATTTTTTCAGAAGGATACTTCGCAATAACTAATCAATTATATAGTAGATTTTCGAAGAAAAATGTAAAATGTAGTAACGTTCACATTCCTATCGTTATACGGGAAGGAAGTGATTAAAGATTCTTTGAAACTATTGATAGAAACTTCATTATCTTTTCCCCTTATTAAGATTTCGTAATTAGCAAAATACGAGTAATTTTCTAACTCAAAAATAGTTAATTTTGGTTCTTTATTCTATTTCTTGTCGCCTGATTGGCTGCAGAAGTGTTTTCGGTAACACAGAATAAAAGAGCCAGCTTAAAAATGTCGTAATAGTAACGCGCGCGGAAGAGCCAGACGGATAAGTTTCAAAATTATTTAAAGGGCTTCACAGTGATATAAAGCTGAATTTTTGTCTTTGCAATTATTTATTAAAAAAATGGAGTAAGAAAATTTATTGCTTGTTATTAATATTAATCCTTATATTGATACCAAACCAATTATTCAATCGACCATTATTAGATCGGACCTTTATTGGGGCGGTAGACGTCAACAGAAATTTTAAGCTCTCTAAGACTCCAATGAATTGGCAGCCCGATAAAGGTGCCGAGAAAATATACAATATTGTGGCCTACCAGATGGTGTTTCCGCTATCACATTCAGAGACGTCGACAGTTCTCTCATAGTCAGCCAACTTAATCAATCTCTCGCGAGTCAAAAATGGGGGGTTTTCAGTAATAGTACCGAAGTTCTTCTTTCTATTAGGTCTGCACAAGATGAGAGAGAATTTGCGACCGTTGACGAAGTTGTTGAAGGCGCCTCAATTTTCACTTTACGGACTGTCATTCGAGCCAACAGAGAAGATATTATTTGTGGATTACTAGCCTTTGTTGATTTTTTCAATTTTTATTTATTTGTTATTAAATAAAGGCTTGTATTGTAAGTTTGTTATCAATTTATGATCACATATGTTATACTTCGTCCATAAATTCTGGCTAAGCTATTGTTAAAGTACGATTTCTGATTAAATTGACCTCAGTTTACTCGGGAACCATTATTTGAATCTGTTAGAACAAAGTTTTATTGTCTCCTTCACAATACAAATGTTTTTATAACGATAATCAGGAGCATAGTATAATGGAATTACGATAAATACAAACGATATTGAGTAATAAGACGCCATATCTAATATCGCGTATATATGTGTGCAATGATAATACGGTAAGTGGGACGCAAAATAACTATAGAGACTCTTACGTAGTTATTTATAATTTCTGCCCTTACACTTGCAGCGGGCCATTTTATCCCTTCTCCAATTCAATCATTTAAATCTAGGGGGAGAATATGACAATCAGTTTCTATTCACAGAGTGAACAGTTAAATATATATGCATACAAAAATACCTACGGAGGGCTAAAAATTCATCTGGTATCGCAAGATCAATTTGTTTCGAGTCTAATAAAGGCAAATAAATGTTAAATTTACGGTTCAATTTAAAGTTATTAAAATTCTTATCACATCTTCATACCCATAAAATCACAGCTATTTTTCGCTGCAGGCAAATTGGCAGAGTATAATATCCTACTCGAATATTTATTCTCTTTCTCAATGCGTGAGACAGGCATTGAGATCTCATTCTTATAAATGGTATTCCAGACATCCTGTTCATCTTGGCGTATGGGAATAAGTTTCTGCAAATATTCTTTAAGTTGTTCAGCATCTGGACGATTGTTTGGATCGGCATCACAACATTTCTTGGCGAGCATTTGATATGGTCCGGGAGCCGAATCAGGCATTTTTGGTCGCAATCCGTTACAAATTTCATACGTCAATTCATAGTCAAATGCCCTGTCTCTGAATGGTGGTTCGCCACTGGCAATCTGATGCATAAGAATGCCAAAAGCATATATATCCGATTTCTGGGTGAATTTACGTGTATGAAAAACTTCTGGCGCAATATATGGCAAAACACCTTGAATTGAATCTGACTCGGATGAATGCACCGAGTGAGAGAGTCCAAGGTCACATATGTATGGGACGAAATTAGGATTGAGAAAAGTTGAAGTAGAGACATTATCTAAAAGTATATTTCCCCCATGGAGATCACAATGTATTGATCCTGTACTATGGATGACTTCTAAATTAAATGCAATTGTCTTCACAAGGTCAACTTTCATTTTCCATGTCAATCTGTTGATGTTTTGATCCAAATAAGATAAGAGATCGCCACCTTCCACGTACTGCATTACGATCAAATATTCCTTTGTTTTTGGCTCTTCTGTGATACCGTAAATTTGAAGAAATTCGTCATGACCACAATTGATATAATTTTTAGTCTACAAAATTAATTAATGGATAGTAATGGGAGACATTAGAATTGCTTTGCTAATAAAAGCCGATATAGTCTGATTGCTTACTTCAGAAATAAATAATTCAAACGATTCGTCAAACTTTTTCAGCCGCTTTAAAGCAACGACTTGGATTCGTTTATCATTAGAAAAAAAATCCTTCACTTTAGCAACGTAAACTGTTCCGTATCCACCAGATGCAATCTCCTTAATTTCATAAAAATGTTCATATTGTATCCATTTAAAGCTATTTGTAGTAGTAGGGTCTAAACTCGCAACTTGTACCATATTGTCTAAAATCGAATGCATATCATAGTAGAATACAAGATAGTATTCTCTTCTTAGTGGTTTCTGAGTAAGACCAATAATCCAGATATTGTCTGGAGTTAATATATTCGGATAGTATTCACATAGCTATCTCGAACAAAATGAGATATTGGTTATCATCATGTCAATACATTATTGTTAGTCTTAACAGCCATATGATTAATTTACCTGATAGAAATCAAACACTTGAGTATCCTGCCCATTGGTTATCTTCTTGAGTTTCACTTTTACCAACTTGTCCTCATTCCTTATCGATTTGGACCAATCTGCAGCATGCGAACATCCATGGCCCAACATTGGTCTCTCTTGAATATTTACTAGCTGGGCATATTCTATCCATTGCAGGTAACCATCATATATGTGCCGCATATTATGCCATGATGACATTATAAAGGAGTCTAGAGACTTGTTGCCAGTGGTCCAGTCAGGATGTCTCAATTCTTTACACCAGAGACAGAAGGCACTTATACTAGGATGTAAATAGTAAGTACATGACATGCATAGCTCATTTCCATATTTGCTTCTAACGAGAGCATATTTTTGCCATTGTGGATGATATGTGAACCCGCAGACAATCCAAACCTTTGTATCGAGTATATCTGGAAAATCATTACATAACTAATAGTCATCGTATGTTATAAGCCAATATTGACTAAACGGTTCACAGCATATTTTGCAAATGTAATTGAACAATTACCTTATTATAGAATGAATCATCTGCTAAATCTGAAGTTTCAAGTGGAATAAAGTCATTGTAATAGCAAAGAGGCGTGCGTCTAAAACGTGCCACTGAATACCGTCGTGGGTCGCCCTTATTGGTATTTACGAATTCAAACGATGATTTAAGACCGAGCCAACTAAATGGTAACCACAACAAGGGAGAATCATTCGCTGTCTTTGATTGTCTTTGGGTCTCCCTGATAAATTCATCGAGTTTCTCGTTGCCGCTAGACCATCCGTTCGATAATTCCTTATGGCCACAAATGCACCATACAGGGCTGCATCTAAGTATTCCGCATGCAGAGCAGAATCCCATTGCTGAAAACATTTGCTGGAGTCCTTTGTACGCGACTAGGTAGTAATTATCTTCGTAAAAAGTGAAACCCTTCATCGCCATGGTGTTGCGCAGCGAAAGCAAGACGGAATATCGTTTAAATTGTTTGATATTAGGCGCATTTCTATATTTATGCGTTGGGAGTGAATATACCCTTGCAACTTCATCTATAAATTCGTGTTTGCATTTGTCTCTAGTTCCAATGAACAATAGCACCACCGCCGTTTGTTCATTATACATGGCATAACGGATTTTTTTGCCGGTAAAATGTTGAATTGGCTCTATCTCAGTAAAATCCGAGGAAGGTATCCACTCTAGGTTTCCATCCGATAATATCTCCCCATTATTAAGAGTTTTTGAGGATTCAATCAGCTGGTCGATTGCCGGACAACCCGAAACATTCTCACTGGATTGTACTAATAACTTGGAAGTTGATGCCATTCTTTAAAAATGTCAACACGAGAAATCGGCCTGTTGCACAAAACATATCAAAATGTTAATGATGGTTAAGCTCCAATCCTCTTGTTATCTAAGTTATCCGCTGCAAGTCCAATTTTCTCCATAATAACAATACACATACCAATGTAACGTGGTCTTTTGGGATCTCTTCAGAAATTTCCGATTCCGCACGGTTGTCAAGAAAATTGCGCAGTATGAATCGGCGCAGAATTAATGAGAATATATCCAAAATTCTTGACAACCACAGACTTGCTTAATCAGGCCAATAAAGAACACAAAACTCCAATATTCTTGACAAACGCAAACTGCCCCATCGAGCCATTTTCCTTGACAGTAGTGAAACGATAATTAGTTATAAATGCGAGTCGTAATCGATAGCTAAAAATCATCTTCAGAGATCAGAATCTTCAGATCAAATCATTCAGCAAGACGTTGCTATTAGGGTAGTTCTCTTTTATTCTAATAAAAATTTGATTTAATCATAAAACTTTATTATTTCGTTTATTCCCTGATAAAAGATCGTTGGTGAAGTGTAAACCGCTTTTCCCGCCGACGGTAAATAGAATTGATTCTTGATAATCTACTATGAAAGACCCATCTTCTTCCAGTGGGATACTCATCCGTGTGGTATTAACATACTCCCTCGCAATTTTAACAGCTTCAGCGAGAGGTTTGATACGAAGGTAGACATCATACCACAACACAGGGTCAAGGCATATCTTAAACTCCGCACGATCTTCTAAAAATTTGATTTCTAAACGAAACACCTGTGTTAACTTTGGTTGTGCATTAACAGTAGTTAAAAGGCACGCAGATGATCTCGCAAGCTCCTCTGGGACGAGAGGCGTAAACAGTGTGAAATAGGGTTTATTGGAATAGCTGGTCCTACTATTGTATCATCCATTAAAACGATATTATTATGAAAGGAAATAATTTAATAATGATAGTGGAACTTTCTGTCAGTATCCATAAAGAAAGAAGCTTTGCTGCGTATGATAAATAAGCCATCCACGTGATTCAAAAAAGAAATAATTCGAGATGCTTGATATCGCAATATGCCTCTTTGACATGCTATCAAAAACTGTATGGATATTCCCTCAACAAATCAGTTGAGAACTTCTGGAAATGGCAACTGGATTATGAGTGGTGCAAGAAATTCTGGAAAGAGGTATCAGAAGCCAGTGAAGACTGGAAGAAAGTTGACTGAAAGGATGCAAACCTTGATGTGGATAAATTCCCATTCACAGATAATCCCAACAACCAAATCAAATTCTCTTATGTATTGATGAAGCTCAATCCCTCATTGGTTCTGTGCAAGATGATGGCTGTACTCAATTTCAATTGTTTAGAAGAGCTACGAGACATATTGGGTGGAATGGCTTCTTCATCCTCTTTTTGGACACTTAGTAAAATTTCTAACTTTGCATCACCCTCATCAGCAGACCCATCTGCAAAAAAAGACAATCTAGGATTTGAATTATTATTATTCCACCCTTTTATTAGACTTACAACAATGGATATATTTGAAGGTAAAACAGGAACATCTGAAGAAGGTCAATTGTCCAATTGACAAGGCTTAGGCTAGGGAAACCATTAATTATAGCTATTTTGATGTCAAACAGACAAGCATCCTCAAGGATTATAGAAACTCAGATTGGTATTCTTCCAAGAGATAATAATGGAATTGGAAAGAAGAAAAAAGTAAAACTCACTAGTGAGTTCTTTGACTGGAGTATGGACTTGTGATGCTACGACATTTCACAGTTTTTTTGATTTCATTGTATTCAGCTTGGCTACACCATGCTGGCTTTGCGATTTTGAAACCGCAACGCACAATTCCCCATACTTCAGGTCTATATAAAGAAAAGGTTAATATAATACATATAACTAACCCTCAATATTGGCCATCAGATACCTCATGCAGTGTCCATTGATGTTTGCCACTGTTCTCAGAAGTTCTGCAACAACTGAGCCAGACTCGAGAGACCATTTTTCCCAATCTTTATACTCAAAGTTAGGTTCAGTATAATCACTTTCAGACTCTTCATCTGTTTCGTGGATAAACAGTTCTGGATCCACTGGTTGTCCTTTGTAATTGCCGAAGTAAGGTTCAATGGTCGCACAGACCTATCATGTATTAATACAACAAAGTTCAATTAGATTATCCCTCACTGGCACAGAGCTCCATGATCAAAAATAATTGATCTGTTGCAGTCTCAAGTCCTGGAGTCAGGATATACACTCCCGTCTCAAAAGTCACTGACCACCCCCTACATTTGTGATTGAATGAGAATACTGGCATAACAAGCAATGCAATTACCATGAAATTAATACTGAATTTAGCGCACCTTATAGGTATCATATGCACAAAATATTGCAATATGTTAGATAGTAAAATTACAAATTTACCTAGAGTCGACCTCTATTCAACGAAAAACGTTAAAATTAGGGTATGCGAATCAAATATTTAAAAAATCGTTAAAATCAATCTGCATATAATTTTACATACATTTACAGCCCCCTCCCATAAATGACTGAGTAACACAAAATTTCGTAAATTATATGTCGAATTCGCACGCATGTAACAAAAAACTTTACTAATGCAACTGTACTTTGTGCACTAATTGAACTTGCTCGCAATATCATTTTATATATGGGGCAGACTGCAACAAAATCAGACAAAGTGAACATTCTGTTATGTGACATAAATGTGACTGAAAGTTAACTAATTTGACTAATACTAATGACGTTTTAAAAAGTAATAGCAGTGCTCATTCATAATTTATGACTTGTTGATTTTAATTTTCACTTTATCATACCAGAAGGTGATGAATATAAACCATAACAGGATTAATATATAGGATTACCTCTATATTAATATATAAAAATATAAATATGAAACTAATTTACATCAAATCCACCATGGAACCCAAGAATTATAGCACTATTAGAAGTATTTTAAAGAAAGCTCAAGGAGAGAAAATTGCTCCATACGTTTTTAAGATCAATGTCACCCAAACACTCCAGCAATATCTAGATCAAGAAAAAATCACTTATGAAATTTATCAAGAGGAAAGGAAAATCATAACTAATAAACGAGCATTAAAACCAACACATGATGAACCAAGAAAGAAACGAAAACTTGAAGAAAGGTAAAGGGGTTAAGCAGTTTAACGTAATAGTAAAAGGCCTCCACTGATCAGACGACCTATAAACAAAGATCGTTCTTAGTTTACTGATATTTTTTTTTATTCCAAATAATACAGAAATTCAGAAAACGATGTAAAAGCGAATCTGAGAGAGATTACGTCAAGAAATTAGCTAGCGAATTTTGCATAAGTTCTACCTTGGATCATGTTAACGTCATGATAAAAAAGACTGCTTAAACGTATCCGTTGAGCATTGACACAATTAAATATTTCAATTTTTTCGTAAGCATAAATTTTATTATTTCGATTATTGAATGCGCGCTCTCGAAATATAAATAACGTAAAAGCACCAGAGTGATTGCATGGGAGGAAAATACTCGGACCCAAAGCCATTGATGAGTATAACCTATTCTTTGG